CTATTACATTTTTTTGAAATCACTTCAATAATTTTTTCTAAATTATTTTTTAAACTATCAGTTAAGTTATATTTTTTAAAATCTTTTAAATCACAAAGAAACTATGCATCATAATTTTTAGGTTCAGTATTTTTAGGAATTTGATCAGTAATAGAATAATAAATAAAAGTTCTAACCAAACATTCTTTTTTATTAGGAAATTTACAAAATCTATCTTTAAAACTAATTAAATTAACTTTTGCAATTTTAATATTTGCTTCTTCTTTAGCTTTGCAAATTGCATATTGATCAAATGTTTCATTTTTTTCTTTTTTTCTACTAGCAACTTGATAATAATCATAATAATCTTTATCAGGATTATTTCTTCTACAAAGCAAAACTTGTTTTCAATATTAAATAAAATACAAAGAGAAAATTCTCTATATTTATTTCATATTTATTAATAATTTCTTTTTTTTTGTAAAATATTTGTATTAATAGAAATTTGACTATTAATTTCTAATTTTGTTTTTGTATTATCGAGAGTAAATCTATATTAAGAAATTAAATTTAGATTGTTCAAAAAGATAAAACACAACCCATTAAGAGTTGAAATTTCATTATATTCTTTCAAAGCTATTTTGTATTCCATTTTTTTTAATTATATATTTAAAAATCTAATCGGTCAAAGACTGATTAGATATTATTATTTTTAAATATAATTTTATTATTATTAATAAATTCATTTTAAATAAAATATATTTACTATTACATGTATAAAATTTTGAATAATAATATTGTTTACATTTAATACAAAAATAATTTTTTTCATTATCAGGAATAACAAAGCCATCATCAATATTATAATCTAAAAATCTTTTAGAAATAGTTGATTCAGTTGTGATATCAGCATCATTATCAAAATCTTCTTTAGAATAAAGTTTCATTTACATTGTTTACAATAATTTTATTTATAAATAAAATCACAGCTATCACAATAATAAAAATAATTTTTATAAGGTTTTAACCACTTATTATATTTTCGTTTATAATTGTAAATAGGTTTTTTCTGTTGTTTAATTCATAAACTTCTTTGAATTATAATATTTGAACTTGAACTAGTTTTGGTATAAAAATTATATGGTTCAATTAAATCTTTTTTTTTTGAGAATTGAAAGATTATTTTTTAACTTCATGTTTACAAAAATAAAATGTTATTTGGTAAATTAAACTAAATAGAGGATACATTTTCAATCTCTTCAATCTCTTCAACACATTTATCTCTAAATTTAGTTTCTAAATCATTAAAATTTTTTAACTGCATATTAATATCAGTATTAACTTCATTAAGAGTTTTTGTTAACTATTCAAAAGTATATTTATAGTTAGGATTTTTTCTATTTATAGAGAATTTATTTTTAATTTCTTCAATTTGAGAGGCTTGATCTTTTTGAATATTTTTTAAAATTTCAATTACTTCTAAATGTTCTTTAAGAACAGGATAACAATTAACAAGAGAATTTTTAAAGAAAATTAGATTCATTTGCTATCCTTTTTTAAAAATGTAAAAGTTAATTTTTTCTTTTGAAAAAATTTGTTTTGGTTTCTTTTTATCATAAGGAGCTGAATTAATGCTATTTTGTTTTGGGTTTTAGACATTTTGAATTTATTTAATATATTGATTAATGAATTACATAATTAAAATTTTAATCGATACAAAATTGCACTGATTAAAATTATAGAGATTTAGGATAATATTCAGATGATTTTAATACATATTTTTCATTTAATCTTTCAATGAAAACAATACTTTGTTTAGAAAGATAATTAATTCTTTTTTCTGTAAATTTTTCAATATTGATATCTTTGGCTTTCTTTTTTCTTTTAATAATTTTATCTTTAAATTCTTTAAGTAAGTTCTGTTTATTTTTATAAATAAAAGTATTAGTAGAATAAAAATTTTTAATCCAAAGAAATAAATCGTAATCTAATTTTAAATCTCGAAATAATTTTTTAAATTTTATTAATATTCCTTTTTTATTTAAAGAACCTAATCGTTCTTCTTTAAAATATTTTTTATTCACACTTTGTAGCAATTTAAAGTAACAATAATATTTTCTAAAAGAACATTCCCAATTTGTATAATAAAGATCATATTGCTATAAATCTTTATGAAAATTTTTTTCTTGTTTCTTTAGAAAGTTTCAGTTATATTTATATTGAAAGAATGTAAAATAAGATATGTATTAGGTATGTTCTAATAAATCAAATTTTTCATTTAGTTTTTTTTTTTATAAAGAATAACATATGAATAATTAAAATCAATATCTTTAAAAGATATTAAATTCTTTATGATAAAATGTTCATAGAATGCTTTTTGTTTAATTTTCAAAAACTTTGAAAAGGGAGTTACAATATCTTTTTGGATAAACATTGTAAATAATTAAAAAATATTTTAATTATTTTATAAAGCACCAATATTGCTTTTGGTTATCAAATCTTATGATTCAATAAGTAGAAATAAAGGTTGTTTTTTCTCTCTTTTTATAGATATTTTGAAAAAATTAAAAAAAAAACTAAATTTTTTTATTTTTTCTTAGAATATAATACAAATTAAATTTACGATTTAAAAATTTTAGAGTAATAATATATTGCAAATCAAAATTATGATTTAGAAATTTTAGAATAATAATATATTGCAAATCAAAATTATGATTTAGAAATTTTAGAGTAATAATATATTGCAAATCAAAATTACGATTTAGGAATTTTAGAGTAATAATATATTGCAAATTAAAATTATGATTTAAGAATTTTAGAGTAATAATATATTGCAAATCAAATTTATGATTTAGGAATTTTAGAGTAATAATATATTGTAAATCAAAATTACAATTTAGGAATTTTAGAGTAATAATATATTGCAAATCAAAATTACAATTTAGGAATTTAGAGTAATAATTATAAATTTAGAAGTTTTAAACATCAATTTTACGAATTTAGAAAGTTAAAGTACAATAATATATTGTATAGATTTGAAAAACTTGTTTCAAATTTTCATTTCAAATTTATTATAAATTCTTTATTTTTTTTAGTAAATAATAATTTCTTAAAAAAAAAAGATGTGTAATACTTATGAAATTCATAACTACTTTTATACAAATACTCTTAAAACAAGACTTATTTGCAATATTTGTGAAGCAACTTATAATATTGATGTTCAAGTTACTAATCTCAAAAATTATTTTCATAAATATTATAAAAATAATTATGATCATTAAAACACAAAATTCTCGAAAATAAATTTTAATAAAAAAAATATAAAAACATACAAAAGTCACTAAGAAACTAATCTCAAACTTCTAAGTAAAGAGGAAGAGAACAACAAGAAATACTCAGTTTTTTAAGAAACTTGAGTAAAAAAAACAGAAGCGGCAAAGAAATAGAAGAAGTTGTGAAAAATCATCGATTTTTTTTTTTTTTTGCACTTTGCGAACTTTGGGGGAATCGGCCTTAACCCTGAATTGCAGATCTGTTTTAGTAATACAAGAATCACAACATGTAATAGAAAATAAACAAAGTAAACACAACCAAGACCATGTGATGAAAGTAAACAAAAATGGTAAACTATCACAGCAAACAACAACAACAAACAACAGTAGTCAGAAAACAACAACTCACGTGAAGCAAAACAACAACAGAAACTTCTGGAAAAAACTCGTCATAGCAGAATTAACAAAGATGAAAACAAAAGAAGTATATGAAGATATAGAGATGTATAGACAAGGTTATGTTAACTCTGATACATCAGAAGCTATGAAAGAGGTAATAGCAGACATCCAGTAGGAAAAAGTAGCAATAACTGATGAAATAATAAACACAGAAGTAGAAGAAATAATGGCAGAATATGCTGGGCAATAGCTCATTTCAAAAGAAATAGCCGACAAAAGGATAACAGAGCTCTATAAAGAGTTATGGTACTATAATATAGGAAAATTAAAATATACAGAACTTGTACTTATAAAAAGAGAATATGAGACTTTTCTTGAAGCAATTCAAGATAGAAAAGACCCTGTTCATTGTATTATAATAGAAGAAATAATTGGTTATATAGCAGAATTAAGAATAGCCAAGGAAGTCAGAAGATTATTAGTAGAAAAGGAAAAACAACATGCTGAATTAAAGGCAAAATTAGAAGTAGGTTGGAGCAAGAGACTTCAAGAACAAAGAAAAAGCT